CCAGATTTTTGCAACTCTTTCTTCATTTTCTTAAAATCTTTGCACATTTAGTCCCATCTTGGCATCTTTCTCAAGGACCCAGACTAACAAAAGTAGCATTGCAAATGGGATAGTAGTGCTACTGGTCCTATTTCATCTCAAAAGGGCAGCAGTTTGTCCTCACAAGGATAGAGACTTCTTCTGAGCATAAGTTTGCCTTTCCTGCATCTAGATGGTGTGGTATGGGATATCATCAGGGGCTCACTCTTGCCAGGGGACAGAGCAAGAGCCCTATTGAACTACAGGGCATTATCATTAAGACCCTCTTCATCAAGAGATACCGTTAAGAGATTGAAAAATCGAGTTTACACAATGGGAAAAACATTTGCGATACACACATCTAATATAACTTGTATACAGAATATAGGAATTATTCCAAGGCAGATAACCTAATAGAAAAATGGGCAAAGGACTTGAAAGGGAACTTCAAAAAATATCCACATGGCCAATAAGCATTGTTAAAAGTGTTAAATTCTGCTAGTTACTTGGGAAATGTAAATTAAGACCTCAAGGTAATGCCACTAGAAATGGCTAAAGTGAAAACACAAGACAATACTTTTTGACAAGTAATTGGAATTGAGCAACCAGAATTCCCACACTGACACTGGAAGTGTGTACGGTAATAACAATTTTGGAAAACTGTCTGATGGTATCTACTAACCTGTACATATATATTTCCTGTAGTCAGCAATTCCACATGTACATATGTTCAACAAAAAGGACAAGAATATAGCTGGCAGTACTATTCATAATGTCAACAACACAAATGTACATTTATAGGAGAATGGATAAATAACTGTTCATATGCTAGAACATAGCAGTGAGGTGAATAAACTATGATTACATGCAGTGCCATCAATGACTCTCACAGACAGTGGTGAATGAAGAAAGACAGTCACAGAGCATATGGGGTGATTGATTTGTGAAATGCGTAAAAATACCCAAGACTCGTCCAGGCTGTTAGAAACCAGGATGGTGGTTATCTTTTGGCTGTGAGTAGTGACTGAAACTGGGCAAAAGTGTGGCTTGTGGAGTGATGGTAAGTGTTCCGTTTCATCATCTGGGTATCATGAAAATACTACTAATCACTCATGTGTGTTCACTTTATCACAATCCATGAAGCTGTTCTAGAATTCTTGACTTTTCTGTATGTATGTTTTTCATTAATAAAATTTATCGAAAAGTTTACTTTTTACTCAGTAATTTTAATTATCAAAAATTTAGAAAATACAGAACAGAAAAATTGCAACAAGGCTAACCTTTTAATATTTTAATGATTATCCTTTGGTTTTTTTCTCTATATACTCAAATGTTGCCCTCTGCAACACTCTCCTTCAAATAAAATTGGGACCATGTTCTAGATGCCATTTTGTAAGTACCTTTTAACACTTTAACTGTATATTTAACTATACACATTGTAAACACCTTCCCATGTCATTAACATTTGTTTACTACATTTAAAAGGTCTGCAAGTCATCCACTGAATTGGGAGTTCTACCATCTGTATAAGAACTAACTTTTCATGTCTAGTTTGTTTCCAGTTTTTCAGTATTGTAAACAATGTAATAATCAGTCTTGTAGCTAAATCTTTGCCCTACATCTTTGGTTATTTCTTCTTTCTACTCAAGTCTTAGAAGTTGAGTGTTTGGGTATAAAGAATGTATATACTCTTGAAGTTTATACATCCCACAGTTAATTTTTTATCAATCAAGTGACAATTTCAAAGAGGTCATGATTTCAACTGGGTTCCTATCTGGTTGTTCATGGCATTCTAAGAGCAACAACGATTATCACAATGCTAATAGTTACTAAGGTGCCTATTATATCATTTATTTCCCACTAACAACCTGGTTAGGTGAATTTTAATAGATACTTTTACAGATGAGAAAAGAGGTTCAGTTATATGAAGGACCTCATTTATGTTCTTTCTGAATGAAGCTAGATCCAAAGCCAGGCCTGTCCAAAACCAAAGCCCATCACTGCTCTGATGTCTCTCCAGAGAATGGGAAATCCTATTGTCAAGATGTATCAGGGAGCCCAACTGAATTAGTGATTCCTATATTATATCAAAAGTGCACAATGATCATGGTGAGAGTTCATGCTTAATTCATACAAATAGAGATCAAAAAGCAGGATTGAGAGAGGAGAGCAGAGGAGAATCAGTCTGGAAGGGTGGATGCTTATGGAGTCTGATTAAAGTTAGCAGAAGATAAATTGAAATGTCTTGTTAACCCGCTTGCTGATGACGTGTCACAAACTTGTACAAGCCTTCTTAGCCATCAGGGTACCAGGTTGTTTGGCCTCATTCCCAAGACTGATAAGCACATTCCATTGAGACCAGGTGTAGCTGGGAAAGGCAAAAGCCAAATAGCTTACAATAAGATGCACAGAGGATAAAGAGGTTTTTGCAATCTTTTTGAATGTGTCTTGGAGTTTTTGTGAAAAGCCAATGAAGTGAGATTGGAGGGATATTTCAGTGAAATTCTGGATCAAGCTGCATCTGTTTTTTCTGTGAACGTATAAGTAGTAGTTACTTAGAAATGGCAAGAACACTGTGTGTGTGTGTGTGTGTGTGAGCATGGGTAGTATCCATGAAGAAAAGGCTGGGATTCGTGTTTAGGAAAACTGGAATGGTATGTCTATTGATAATTTGCTTCAGTTCCGCTCCTTACTGACTTACATTTCAATTGGTAGGGTGAGTAGTTCAGACAGGTATAGACAAGAAAGAGGCAACATGGAGAAGTGGAAGAGAAGGCTTTGGTAGGCCATGGATCTAGCCTCTAATTTCAGTTTAGCCACTGGTTAGTTTCTCATAAGACTAACACTAGCTAAAATTCATTCATTCATTTAAACACTGTCATGGCTTTATTCAAAACACGGTTGCACAAAAGTATTAACTTCAAAAACTTCAAAGTTTTTAAGAAGATCCTTGAGGAACTTAACACACTATATACATACTACCATACAAAGAGCCTTAAAATAGGACTGAAAACTTCTGCAAATATAAAACCCACCCTTACTTATTTGCATGAAAATATCACCCACGAAGCTAAATAAGTCTTAAAAGTTATCTGGAGACTCTAAGTGTTGTTTTCAAACCAAAGTACTGTAATTCTGACTGCACAGTAAGATGATTGATAATAAAGTCAATATATAGATTCCATTTTAAAAATAAGTTTGTAATCTGCCATAGTATGTAATGAGAATCATTAAGAACTAGAGCAGGGCATTTTTAAAATCGGAAGAAAATGTTAGTTTTTTGGAGATTCCAATCCCCTTGCTAAACTTGTCCCAAGTGTTTTAGTTCAGTCAGTTGTACAACTTTTTTAGTTTCTCCACAAGTCACATCGTAATTTTTACTTTAAAACACCAAGTCATGCATTTTACATTGTAGAAGCAGTAGCAGCAACACTATACACAGTATTTAAATGTGTCCCAGTATAGGAGCATAACTTCAATTAATTTGCTGACACTAACTTTTTAAAAACTTACAAATATTCAAAGGGAAAAAGTTTAGACAGCCAAGATTTTTAAAAGCCATTGCCTTGAACAAGGAGCCTCCATAGCAAAAGGGGAGATATACTTGTCTACTCATTATATTTTATTTAGTAGCCATGTAAGGAAACATACACTCATTTATCCCAAATATTTTTCTACTTTTAATGGACATCCACTTGAAAACAAATCTTAATCTTAATATCGATTTAGTTTCAAATATTTTTCCAACTGCCTAGTCCATTCCAATTAAACACTATTATTTTATCTGGTAATGCTTTAAAACTGTAGGAATCAAAGACTCCACTCAGAAAAATTAGAAATACTTTGCAGAGTGGTATCCAAATCATTTGAGAGGCCAACTTTAAAATTTGACTTTAATGTGTTATTCAAAACAGACAATTGTTCTGACTTTTGAGAAACACCAATACTGCTTCCAAAAGCACCCCCTGCTTTTCTTTCTTCATCCTACTGATATAATCTTAGATGTTGTCAACCAAGAAACATTTATGTTAAGCAGACTTACTGTATTAAACTGTACTGATAGTATATTCTTATGTCAGAAAATACTCAATTTCTTTGACTTCACTTATTTAAAAACCAGACAGTACTGAAAGGTAGTTGAGTTATAAGACTAAAGGTTTTACTGAGTATTCACAAGTTTCCCAACTTTCTCCTGAGAGAGTGGGAGGATAGTGAAACAAGAAGGGAAGGTGATCATAAAGGAATTGCTAAGAAGAAAAAGAATACACACCTAAAAACATGATAAAATAACCATTGGTGTGTCATGATTTGCAGCCTGACAAAAGGGCTCGCCTGCATGTCCCTGGACTTAGTATAAGCAATTTTTCCTTCAGAAATAAAAATCAGTCACCACTAAATCCATGAACTATATTACTGAATAGAACCTCCACAAAATCTGTGAGCTATGTTACTGAATAGAACATTTACTATTCTGCTTCTACTTTCCAAGTTACTTGTGACAAAAAAGCAACCACTCTCAGTCAATAAAAAGAAAAAAGGTAACTGCCTTTAAACTAAAGATACCTGGATCACCTCTAAAAAAATAACCAAGTTACTACTCAAGAGACTATTGTCATTTCATCTTAAAGCGAACTATAATTTCAGTTAATTTATAAATAAGGAATAAAATGCACCATACTACACCTGTGTAAAGTGATCATGTTTTAATTATGGACTTAAAATGACTAATACAGTAAGCTTGAATTTTAAAAAATTGAATCTAAATAAATTGCTAGGGAATTCCCTAATGAAAATTTTTCTCTACATACAATATGATCATTAACAGACTAGTTCTTATTTGGCATAATAAGGCAAAAATAGTAAAACCACACATTTCTTATAAAAATTACACATTATCTTCTATAGGGATAGCTATCATACATGCAGAAACAAAGATGGGATCACTGTATTGCACACCCAGAAACATTAGAGAATCTGGTCTTAGAATGATCTAGTCATCTTCCTCCTTTTCATCATCTTCAACATCTGCTTTCCTTTTCTCCCCTTGAAGACCTTCTTCCTCTTCTTCCCCTTCTTCAACATAGTCATCATCATCTTCTTCATCATGAATTTCTTCTTTCATTAAGTATGAGAGGCCCACTTCTGCTTCTCCCTCTCCCAACTTTGAACCTGCTTCAGCTTCATCCTCATCCTCTTCCTCTTCCTCTTCTTCAACATATCCTTCAAGTGGACCAGCTTCATTTTCCTCTTCCACTTTGTCATCTTCATCTCCATCCTCATCATCCTCCTCTTCAGAGTCTGGTGCTTCATTATCCTCCTGATCAAATCCATCTAAGTATGTGATTTGCTACAACAGTTCAAAAATGCTTTCTCTATAATCTTCCAGGTTTGTGATATCACAGTTAAACAGGTCAAAACTTTTCAAATTTTTAAGATTTTGTAGAACTTCTACTCTACTGAGATCTTTTATTATGTTTCCACTCAGATTGAGGTAGGTAAGATTTGGACATTTCTCTGTGAGAACTTCCAAGCCTCCAGAAATTATATTGTCACTAAGCTCCAATTTTTGACATTTATTTAAGCTGGGAAGCCAGGCCAGTGAATTTAGTCCCACATTAGCCATACTCAGAAATTCTAGTTCTTTACAAGTATCATTCAGGCATTCAATTTCCCCATTGACACACAGGCAATTATCAAGGACTAACTCTGTCACCTTGTCCAGTGCTCTCTTCCTTAACTCCAGTTAATCTTCTTCATCTCTATATCCTCTTCTTGCTCTTCAGCTACTACTCTCCTTCCTTTCCCTTTCCTGCCTTTCCCACTACCCCCAACCCAACATTTTTAAGCTATTTAGAAAGGAATGAAAAGAAACACAAATATAAATGCCCACTACCACCAGATAGGTGTAGGGGAGAAAGAAGAGAATAGCAAATGGAGTCCAAGAGTTGGAACTCTAACTCAGCTGCCCCCATCTCCTTGTCCACACACTGGCATGCTCACACACACATGTGCATTTCCTTCCCCTTCAATGTCTGCTCAGAGACTGAGCCTCCATGACAAACAGTAGCTAACATTTATTGAGCATCGTATGTATTTTAGAATCTGTACTAAGGGCAGTTTACAATAGCAAAGACCTGGAACCAACCCAAATGCCCATTGATGATAGACTGGACAGGGAAAATGTGGCACATATACATGGAATATTATGCAGCCATCAAAAACAATGACTTCGTGTCCGTTGTAGGGACATGGATGAACCTGGAAACCATCATTCTCAGCAAACTGACACAAGAGCAGAAAATCAAACACCGCATGTTCTCACTCATAGGCGGGTGTTGAACAATGAGAACACATGGACAAAGGGAGGGGAGCATCACACACTGGGGTCTGTCAGGGGGAAATAGGGGAGGGACAGTGTGGGGTGAGGAGTTGGGGAGAGATAGCATGGGGAGAAATGCCAGATATAGGTGATGGGGAGGAAGGCAGCAAATCACACTGCCATGTGTGTACCTATGCAACAATCTTGCATGTTCTTCACATGTACCCCCAAACCTAAAATGCAATAAAAAAAAAGAATCTGTGCTAAGTGTATATTCTCTATCTCATTTAATCTAATCTTCGAAATCACTCCATAATTCCATTTAGTCTCCTACTATCCCATTTTATAGATGAAGAACTGATGTTCAGAAGATTAGGGCACTTACTGGAGATCTCACAGGATTTGTTGAGAGTCACATTTGAACTCAGGGCCATCAAAGTCCAATATCTGTACCTTCAAAGCCATGACTTGGAAGGAATTTTTAAAGGTGAGGTTTCAGTTTCCTTTCCTTTAAAACAGAAATAAACAGGCCAGGTGCAGTGGCTCATACCTGCAATCCCAGCACTTTGGGAGGCTGAGGCAGGTAGATCACTTGATGCCAGGAGTTCAAGACCAGCCTGGCCAACGTGGTGAAACACGATCTCTACTAAAAATACAAAAAAATTAGCTGGGCATGGTGGTACATGCCTGTAGTCCCATCTACTCAGGAGGCCGAGGCAGGAGATTTGCTTGCACCCAGGAGGCAGAGGTTGCAGTGAGCCAAGATCCCACCACTGAACCATTCCAGCCTAGGCAACAGACCGAGACTCCATCTCCCAAAACAAACAGACAAACAAAAAAAACAAAAACAAAAAACTGCCAAACCTAGTCTACAGTCTATGACATTGTCTGGAGGCCAAAATTAACATGATATTTTAGACCACAGTCTGACATATAACAAGTCCTCAATGAATGTTACTTTGTCTCCCTGCCCAGGACTTTGAGAAAGAGAAAGAGAGCATAAAAACAAACAAACAAATAAAAAACCACCATACTGAAGAACCGGAAAAACATCTGATGGCCTGGGTAAAGCTGGATTGGACAGGGCAATGCTATAAACAAGTAGGTTCAGATTTAACTAGGAATACTAACAGTATGAAGGACATGGGGCTCAGAACTTCATGTATACTGATTTCATCACAAGCTTGTGGGAATGATGGTGTCCATTCTTGCACTGCTATAAAGAAATACCTGAGACTGGGTAATTTATAAAGAAAAGAGGTTTAATTGGCTCACGGTTCCACGGGATGTACAGGAAGCATGGCAGCATCTGCGTCTGGGTAGGCCTCGGGGAGCTTTCATGGCTGAAGGCAAAGTGGGAGCAGGCATCCTGCATGGCAGGAGTAGAACCAAGAGAGGGGGGAGATGGCATATACTTTTAAAAAAAAATCGTATATTGTAAGAACTCACTTTACAGCACCAAGGGGGGATGATGCTAAACCATTTATAAGAAACCACCCTCATGATGCAGTCACCTTTCACTGGGCCCCACCTCCAACACTGGAGATTACAATTTGACGAGATTTGGGTGGAGCCAGAGATCCAAACCATATCAGATGGTACATGTCTAATTGACAAATGAAGAAATGATGCCCTAAAAGTCTAGTCCCTAAGTTCTGTTGCTGGAATTCTGTCTGATGGGTGGAAATGTCTTCCATGTTTTTATTATTTTTCAAATTGAGATAGAAATTCACAAACCACAAAACTCACCTTTTTAAGTATACAATTTAGTGGTTTTTAGTATATTCACAAAGAAGTATAACCATTACCACTGTGTAACTGTCTAATTCCATCGTATTTTCATCACCCCAAAGAGAACTTCATACTCATTAACAGTCATTCCCCATTCCCCCAACCCTCAGCCCCTGGCAACCACTAATCTGCTTTATGATTCTATGGGTTTGCCTTGTCTGGACATTTCATATAAATAGAATCATAAAATATAGACCTTTTGTGTCTAGCTTCTTTCACTTAGCATAATGTTGCAAGGTTCATCCATTGTAGCATGAATCAGAATTTTATTCCATTTTATGGATCAGTAACATTCCATTATATGAATATATTACATTTTGTTTCTCCATTTATCACCTGACAGAAGTTTTGGTTGTTCTCGCTTTTTGGCTATTATGAGTAAAGCTGCTATAAACATTTGTGTACATATTTTCGTGTGGACATATGCTTTTAATGTGTGTATATACATTATGTTAAGTGAAAGATGTTAGACATATATACTTGGCAGAATTGCTGAATCATATGGTAATTATATAGCTAACTTTTTGAGGAACTGTCAAAATGTTTTACAAAGTGACTACTTCATTTTTACAATGTCAGCACCAAATATATGAGGGTCCCAATTTCTTTACATTCTCACCAGCACTTGTTGTATTTGTTTTTTTGTTTTTTTTTCATGATAGCCAACCTAGTGGATGTGAAGTGGCAGTTTATTGAGGCTTTTATTTGCCATAATTTGACAAATTATGTTGAATGTGTGTGTTTTAGAGAAATATCTTCTGTCCATTTTTAAATTGGATTATTTGTCTTTTTGTTACTGAGATGTAAGAACTCTTTGTATAGTCTAGATACTAAATGCTGATTAGATGTGTGACTTGTGATATTTTCTCTCATTCTTTGGGTGGTCTTTTCACTTTCTTGATAGTATCTTCTGATACACAAAAATTTTAAATTTTGATGAAGTCTAATTTACCTACTTTTGTTATTTAAGATTTTGGTGTTATTATCCAATAATCTTTTGCCAAATCTAAGATTATGAAGATTTAACCCATGTTTTCTTCAAGAGTTTTATAATTTTATCATTTTACATTTGGTCTTTCGTCTATTTTGAATTAATTTTTATATACGGTTTCAGGAAAGGAGCCAACTTAATTTTTTACACTTGGATGCCTAGTTGTCCCAGCATCATACATCGAAGAGACTATTCAGTCTATGTCAAATAGTCTTAGCACCCTTGTCAATAATTAATTGGCCATATATATGGATTTATCTGGACTCTCAATTCTATTTCATTGATCTATTTGTCCATTCTTATGCCAGTACCACACGATTTTGATTATTGTAGCTTTGTGGTAAGTTTTGAAATCAGGAAGTGTGTGTCCTCCTTTGTTCTACATTTTCAAGATTTGTTTGGCTATTTTTCAAGATTATTTACATTTTCATATGAATTTTAGGTTGTTTGTTAAAATACCAGTTGGGATTTTGATAAAGCTTGTGTTGAATCGGTAGGTCATTTTGAGGAGTGTTACCATTTTAACAATATTATATCTTCTTATCCATGAATGTGAGATTTGTTTGATTTATTTCTGTCTTTTTTTATTTTCCTTAACAATGTTTTGTAGTTTTCAGTGCACAAGTCTTCTTTTCTTAAATTTATTCATGTGTATGCTATCTATGAATAGTAGTTTTACTTCTTCCTTTTCAATTCAATGACTTTTATTTCTTTTCCTTGCCTAATGCCTTGACTAGATTTTCCACTACAATGCTGATTAGATAGAAGGGATGAGATAGACATTCTGTTCTTGTTTCTGATTAGGGGCAAAGTTATTGGCTTTCACCACTAAGTATGATGTTAGTTGTGGGTTTTTCAAAAGTACCCTTTATCAGATCAATGAAGTTCCCTTCTATTCCTGCCTTGTTGAATGTTTTTATCATAAACCGTTGTTAGATTTTGTCAGTGCTTTCTCTGCATCTATTGGGTAAAAACGTGGACTTGTCCTTTATTCTTCTAATATGATGTAGCACATTGATTGATTATTTTTCATGAGCTAAACCAACCTTGCATTCCTGGGATGAATAACACTTTGTCATGGTGTATGATCCTTTTTATATGCTACTGGATTTGGTTTGCTAGTATCTTGTTGAGGATATTTGCATATATATACATAAGGGATATAGCTGTAGTTTCTTGTGAGTTTTCTGGTTTTGGTATCAGGGTAATTCTGGCTTCAAAGAAAGAGTTAGGAAGTTTTCCCTTCTATTACTGATGAATTGCCTATTAATACCTTCAAATGTGTCACATTCTGCCTCATGCATTTTTGGGCTCTGTTGTTAAGTAAATATATGTTTATAATTGTTTTGATGGAGTGACTCTTTTATCATTATAAAATGTCCTTTTTTTGTCTAGTAACAATTTTTGCCTTAAAGTCTCTTTTATCTATATTGCAAACTCTCCAGCTCTTTTGTTTACTGTTTTCATCGTACACATATTTCCATCCTTTAAACCTATCTGTGACTTTGATTCTAAAATGTACCTTTTGTAGACAACATATATTTGAATCATGCACCCTCCCATCATAATTCTAGTCTTTGTCTTTTTTTTTAGTATATATTTTATTGCATTTTAGGTTTTGGGGTACATGTGAAGAACATGTAAGACTGTTGCATAGGTACACACATGGCAGTGTGGTTTGCAGCCTTCCTCCCCATCACCTATATCTGGCATTTCTCCCCATGTTATCCCTCCCCAACTCCCCAACTCCCTAGCCTTAGTCTTTTAATTAGAGTATTTAATCCGTTTGCATTTAATATAATAACTGATAAGATTTATATCTGCCATTTTGTTACTTGTTTTCTATATGTATTGTGTCTTCTTTGTTTCTTCATTCCTCCATTACTGCCTTCTTTTGTGT